GTTTCCAACGGAGTTCTCTTCCACATCTCCAGTGCGGAATATCCTGAGTGTGGAGGCCCTGCTTCTCAAGAAGAACACTCCATGCTTATCCTCCAGGCATAACATAAACTGAGAAAAGGAAACCCAGAGCACAATGATACTGGTGTGAGTACAGGATGGCACAGGGAGACTGACACCACAGTGCTGCTGGTCCTGCATGAGAGCCCAGCACCTCTCCCACTACAAACAGCACTTAGCACAAAAGTTAAGTCAAACCAGCAGGAAAAAAGGGTGTTCAGAAGCATCTGGATAGAACTGACACAGAACCAAACAGGACAGAAAGTAATGGGCAGAATGTAATTAAACCACAACTAAGTTTACTTAAAAGGTAGTAAACTAGGATCAAATACAATCTAATGGAAGTGGGAAATCACACATGTCCATGAGAACAGAGGGTGACCTGAGAGACGGGGGAAAACACCACTTTTCTTGTGTTCAACTTAAAAGAAGAAAGCCTGGATGGAAAATCTCCAAGAACTCTCTTCTTGGAGAACAGATGTCGGTCACTTGCTTAAAAAGAATTCTGACACCTCTTCCCAGGTGTGCCATGTTTTTTGGGACCCTTCCCCTGTGCCACAAGCACTTGCTCCCAAACCAGACCATTCCTCGAGCAGGTCCTCCTCACCTCCACAGGTGCGATGCCATTGTTACGGACGACCAGGGGCAGCGTCTCTGAATCCCCCACCTGGAGCCTCTTGAAGCGCAGCACGGCATTTCCCCTCTTGCTGCGAGCACTTGGGCACACGACTGTCAGCTGTGGCTCGAGCCCCTTCCCGCTGATATGGAAGGTCACGATCCGAGGTTCAATTCTCACAGAGCTGCAGGAGAGACACAGAAACAATTTCAGCTGGCACTAACCCATTTCTCACGGGCAAGTTAAGCAGCAAGGGCCACCCACAGTGTTTTCCCCGCTTGGTGCTCATGTACCGCACAACACAGCCCCCACCAGCCTCTTCCCAATCCACTCAGGGCCATTCACAAGAGGAATCTGCTCCAAAGAGCCAGAGCCTTCCACAATAACAGTTAAAACTAATTCCACTTAATTGAATCAAGCAGTGCAGCAGGTAAAAAACGAGGCATCAGATGAGATATGGCAAATCCCCTGGCTGCAGTGAGATGAGACATGCAACAAGCAAAAGCACAGCTTAATTGTTGTAGTGTGTTTTTATATTCCTGTAACAGTTGTGCAGCGGCTCGCCCCTCCACCCGCCATTTTCTCCCAGCGGCTCCGCCCCGCGTTTTCCCGCCGCCCCCTCAGCGCCGATCTCCCTCACAGCGCTCGGGCACTTCCCCGCTCCCTGCTCCCTGGTCCGGCACTCGGCTCCCAGCGCCTTCCTCCCGATCTGCTCCCTGGGCCTCGAGGGACTGGATGAGGGCCCGGGCTCCCTCCCTTCAGTTTCCCCCATTGGTTTTTGTGTCTGTCTATCCTTTCACCTTCCACTGCCCCAAATCCCGCACGGGTCAATGGGCGTTCCCTTCCCCCTGCTACCGCCCCGCTATTTAAGACGTTGCAAAAGCCTCGAGGGCGCTTTTGGCTGCTGGATTCTCCGTGGCACCGGGTTCCCCGGAGCCTGGGTTAAACCTG